GTTTGTTCAATGTTATGTTAAGATTTGTGGTTATATTGTTATATTGCATATTATTGTAAGCGCTGTGATATAGTGTACTATGAATAGCGTAGCTAAATGCCTAATACTAATAATAATAATAATAATAATTCTGATTTGTAGCCCCTTGTACCGAATGGTCGAACGTATTTGTGCTGCATAAAGATTAAATCAGTTTAATTTTGGCCATTACCAGTAGTGGGTTATGCTCATGTAGGCTATCTGTTAGAGCTCATTTTATGCTATTACCAAAGATAAAAAGGTGTCAGCCAGTCACCCAATAGTGTCTGACTGTAAAGTCTAGAAGGTAAACTTGATTGAAAAAACACATTGATGGTACAATGATTTGCTTAAACGCGTCACCTCCCTTGAACTCTTCCACTATATCCGTAGTTTTAGAGTTGTTGTTTGCTGATCGAGGTTTTGTAGATGGCGCTCTTCAATCTCTTTAGATAATACCATAGAGGTCATCAATAAACCATTCCTTCTCAATTCCAACTTAAAATGTTGGAGTAGACCCCCCCCCCTCCAATTTATACTACATATTTCAGGCAATTAGACATTTTCAATCTTTCTCCAAGTGTAGGTTATGAAAGTCAGATTTGAGAACTAAGTAATAATATTCAAATCTCACCCACAAATGTAATAATGCCCACAAATGTAATAACGCCCACAAATGTAATAACACTTTACCCACAAATGTAACAACACCCACAAATGTAACAACACCCACAAATGTAATAACACTTTACCCACAAATGTAATAATTTCACCCACAAATGTAATAACCACTTTACCCACAAATGTAATAATTTTGAATCACCCACAAATGTAATAATGACTTTACCCACAAATGTAATAAATTTGAAGTGATATTTTGAATCACCCACAAATGTAATAATGACTTTACCCACAAGTGTAATAAATTTGAAGGGATATTTTGTCAAATTTGTTCAAAACAAAAACCCTGTAATAAAGCATGGGTATAGCTAACTACCACCTAGCCAACTACCCCCGGACATCTACCCCCGGACATCTTACCCATCCAACTACCCCTCCCCTGGACAACTAACTCCCCTCCAACTACCCCCCCCCCGGACATCTACCCCCAAGCAAATTAAGGTAGTTGGGGGTAGTTGGAGGTAGTTGGATGGGGGTAGTCGGATGGGGGTAGATGTCCGGGGGTAGTTTCAGGGTGGGGGTAGTTGGCTGGGGGTAGTTGGAAGGGGATAGTTGGATTGGGTGGGGGGTAGATGTCCGGGGTATTTGACGGGGGTTGATGTCTGGGGGTAGTTGCAGGCGCGTAGCCACGGGGGGGGGGGGGAGGGGGCACGTGCCCCCCTAAAATTTCCAGGATCGGTTGAAATTTTGTAGACCCCTTTTTTTGACCTCGATCGATTACATGTATGTGCCCCCCCCCCCCCAAAAAAATATCAAACTCTGGCTACGTGCCTGGGTAGTTGCCCGGGGATAGATGTCCGGGGGGTACTTGACTTGGGGTAGATGTCCGGGGGGGGTATTGTCCGGGGTAGATGTCCATGGGTAGTTAGCTGGGGGGGGGGGTATCATTCTAGGGGGTAGTTAGCTGGGGGTAGTTGGCAGGGGGTAGGTGTCCTAGATTATCGATTAGAGATTATGTCTGACATTTCTTTCGGGGGAGTCCCCTCTCTCGTGGTTGTAGCTCCATGGTAATGAGCAGTGTCAGAACACTAAAGTTACAACAAATCACAGCAATAAACAAAACTGTGACGGAGACGTTCTTAATATTGAGCACTTAAATCAGGCAGATATATCAATTACTTCATTGTAGTACAATATCCAGAAAGACCAGAAGATATTGTAGAAATCAAAAGCATAGAACAATAAAAGCAAGTGGCAAGGACTGCTTCTTCTGTTACAAAAGTGTGTACTGACCAAAATCAGGTAGGTTCATGTTATTTATATACAGTGATCTATGGGAGTTAGTGAATGTGCGCGTGAGTAGAACGTATTAACGTACAGCTATATTGTGACTTTGGACAGTGGGATGAATTATAACCTTGTTTGCTTGTAAAAGGCATGTGAGTTACTCCACCTTTTTATACGTAATAATTATTTTGGTTCTGTTACCGTCTGTATATTAATGAAACAACCTCTTCATTCGTTTGGAATAAAATACTTTCTATCTTACAAAATCTATGTATCCATCATTGCATTACTATAAAACCATAACCTCTGCAATTTACTCACATTGATTGAGAGAGTATATAGATATTTTATCAGTCAAAGGGTTCTGCAATCGTTCATTCAAAACATGCAAATATGTTTCGCGCGATCTCGTTATACAGCTATTTATGATTTGTTATATGAAAGTATGCATTGTTATTTGCTTGTTAACCGATCATCATTTCAGACTTGTTCTTGTTTATATAGCTGCTTGAGTGTTTCAGAAGTAGGGAAAACTGTAATATAGCCTAAATGTGTTTTGTTTGTATTTGCCTTTGAATAAATTTCGTTCTCATGAATTCCCACCGTGTACCGCGTACCAATTGGTAGTCTTGAGTATAAGTAATTGATACGTTCATCACATGAAGAAAGGTAATTCATTCACGCACTCATGAAAATATAACATCGCAATCCAACGTTTCAATGTCACTAATAGCGTACATATATATATATATATATATATATATATATATATATATATATATATATATAAATATTATGTTACATATCGTGAACATATTTCATAATCACATGCATAAAACAATCAGCGTCAATATTTAAATACATTTAAGGTCACTTATTCAATTACTTTTTTTTCTACGAACATTGAATTCCAGGATATTTGTGGGCGTTAGAATATTTACATGATTAAGAAATCGTCGACGGTCAACGAACCATCGAATCGGTCCCTCCTCTGTGTGTTATATGGACCATTTTGACTGATTCGTCAGTTCGTGTGACCGCCGACCAATCATTTATTTGTGATGTGTTTTATCCACATAAAAAATTATGTAATAATGTAATTTATTTTTAAATGAAAAAAAAGAGGAATAAGATGGTGGGTCTTAGTTTCGAAGATTTGTTTAAATTTCTATTTCCTTTGAAATAACCGGGTCTGGAGGAAAGACTACGCTCTATACCCATCCTTGGGCGTCCTATATAGCCGATAAGCCTTTTGCTCGCCAGCCACTGAATTCTTCATCATTAAATAAAAGTTTAGCTTTTAAAAATCCAATTTATCCAAATCTATATATCAAAAAAAGTAAATCTAATTTTAAAGGAATAAAAATCCTGAGAGAAGAGGCGTAAATATTCACTTCTGAATGAAAACGCCTATAAATTAAAACAACAACAACAACAACAGTTATTCCACAGGAATGAGATGGTGAGGTCTTAGTTTGAAGATTTTTTTTCTTAATAACCGAGTCTGAAGTAAAGACTACGTTATAATCCCATGATTTATTACCGGGTCTTAATTTGGTTTGTTGTTTTGTTTTGTTTTGTTTCGTTTTTTGTTTGTTTTTTAACTTTTGAAAAACCGGGTCTGGAAGAAAGACTACGCACAACTAGGCGTTGTGGCGTGCGCCTGTAATCCAGCTAACAGTGGAAGTTACAAACTGATTCAGCCGAGGACGCAGGTTCGAAACTGAGTCACGTCTTTCGGATGATGACGTTTAAAGGTCGGTCCCGAGACGTAAATAATCATATCTGATTGACACACGTCTGTAAAAATAAAACACACACACACACACACGTTCTTCCACAGGAATAAGATGATGGGGTCTTAGTTTTGAAGATTTTTAAAAAGTTTTGAAATAACCGGGTCTGGAAGAAAAACTACGCTCTAAACCCATGCTTTATTACCGGGTCTAAGTTTGGAAGATGGTGGGGTCTTAGTTTTGAAGATTTTTAATTTTTTTTTTAAATAACCGGGTCTGGAGCAAAGACTGCGCGCTATACCCATGCTTTATTACAGGGTTTTAGTTTTAAATTCGACAAAATATCCCTTCAAATTTATTACATTTGTGGGTAAAGTCATCATTACATTTGTGGGTGAATCAAAATTATTACATTTGTGGGTAAAGTGGTTATTACATTTGTGGGTGAAATTATTACATTTGTGGGTAAAGTGTTATTACATTTGTGGGTGTTGTTACATTTGTGGGTAAAGTGTTATTACATTTGTGGGCGTTATTACATTTGTGGGCATTATTACATTTGTGGGTGTAACAGGGGGGTCACTCTCATACATAAGTGCTATACACCTGTGTCCATCAACCTCTGAAATGGACCCTAATGGCGTATCGCACCTTTTTTAAATGGACTTATGACGTATCGCATCTTTTCTGAAATGACCCTAAAGGCGTAGGTATCCCACATTTTTCGAAGACGTCGAAACATGTGAACCTGAAAAAAGGGAAAACGTCGACGCCGCCGTATAGCTGAAAAGACATCCTTTCGGCGCTTTTTTTTTTTTTGGACGCGGGTGCGTAACCAGTCATGTTGGGAGTGACCCAACCCCCTCCCCCGGGCTCAGCCCCTTCCATGAATATAACTTGACATTAATTCAGATACCTTCTCGATACCTATCTTTACGCACTAAGAATAATAACGCACCCAACCCATCAGTCATAATTATGAAGGCGGTGCCATCAATTAGTATGGTCAGTTAGAAGGGGGATAACTTAAAGATAAATATACGAAAGAAATATATTATACAAATCGGTTTAAAAAAAACCCTGCCTAATTACTATACAACTCTTGATAGATACATACCGTGCTTATTTTTAATAATACAATATAACAAAATATGTAAAAAGTAAGTACGAATTATAACACTTAATTAATAAGACCGACTACTCCATGAAATGAAAGCGTAAAACTGTTACCTGAAATTCAAAGAAAGTTCATAAATGAATTATGTTTGACATCGTTTATCGTGGTTACATAACATGGAATATCAGGCACCCTCCCCCCCCCCCCCCCCATTTTTCTCTTTCTCTCTCTCTCTCTATGATTTAATAATTAATAAAAACAAAAATCATAAGCAGATTTAATGACGTATTTACAAAATCCCCTTTTTGTAATCTAACTTGACATAATCATCATTCATGGCTTCGTCCAGCATTGACTGTGAAATCTGAGGGAAATATTTGGTAAACGCCTCTTTGATCTCTTTACGAGACCTGAAATAGGACTTCGAAATGCATCCAGGCTCATTCTCTATTAATAGAGTAGTGTTATTGATACAAACAAAGCGACCGTCAGGAAACGCCATGCATTTGAGGCTGGTTAGAAAGAAATGTCTAGGCATATCATCAATGCTGACATATCTGGGTGTCATGCTGGGTTTAAAGTGGGCTACCTCGACACCTTTCTTGAAATTAATGCGGATAAATCGGTACCAACCATCGGTGACAGGAAAGGTTTCCATGGTCTGCTTGGCCGGGTGACCGTCGACTTGATGCAAACAAAATATGACGTCATCTTGGCGGGAAAACTTGAAACGCAGGAAGGACTCGTGGTACACAGGTGACTCGTCCTTGAAGTCGAAGGGAACTGCGCAAAAATACGGATTCCCGTTCCCGACGTCGGCGTAATGCCTGCTGCCCTCACTTGTCAAATTGTGGACGATTACGGCGGCATGGTCGCTGGGTTCTTCGATGTCGCAAGCGATGTCGATGTCGCAAAAACGAGCCGCACGTTATATAACTGGCAACTTTGACCTGAATGTTTCTTTCAAAACACTTTCAAAAAAATTAGCTTGGCAAGACATTAATGAAAGAAAAGACTACTTTCTTGCCACACAAATGTTCAAATGTATACATGGTCTAGCCCCTCCACAGCTTTGTAATGATATCGAAATGTTTTGTGAACGACATAATCACCATACTAGGAACAATGATAGTCTTAATGTAGTCCCACCTGAAGTCCACCTCTCAATTTTTAAACAAGCCTTTAAATTTTCCGGTGCTAAGCGATGGAATGACATTCCCCACTTTATACAAAATGCCCAAACAATTGAAACTTTTAAAGTGATTTATAAGAAGTTTTATTTTTAATTTAATTTTTGTAAATATTTTTATCTTTATAGTACTTTGTTGTATATATTTTTTTTAATTATTTTATTAAAATGTATAATACAATAGTATGTTATTTTTAATGATACTTACATTTCTGAGTTATTACTATTTTGTTTTAATTTTATGTCAACATATGCAGTTAAATTATTTGAAACGTTGTTATATATTTCACATGTGATTTGCTTTTTAATGTTAACAGGACCATGTTGAAAAACAGTATACCTGAACATATTATCCTGTATAAAGATGTTTTAATAAATAAATAAATAAATAATAAGCGTGACATCAAAACCCAAAGCTTGGAGGAGGAGATAGAAGAAGACATTCTGTTGGTAACAAAGTCCGCCTATCTTATCGGTAAGAATATCCTGCTTGATCTCGGCTACGGTAGGAACATGTCTCTTGCGGTGGGGCGTGGCAATATTTTTGAGGTTCTGGAACGGGATGTGATGGAAATACGCTCGAAGGATCTTGAAGAAAGTCCTTTGGACTCGCCTCGAACTTGGTGGACGGCGCAGGGATGCACAGGGCATCACGCACGAAGTCAAAGGCTTCTTCCGGTGTAATCATCGTGTCATCTGTGGATCCCGACATTCTCTGAGGTATCAAAAAAGAAAAGAACGGAGAACTATTTCGTTACATTTTATCAATATGCCTATTTCATCGTAATCAAATATATTCCTCAACTTAAGCAGGGCTCCCACTTAGCCGAGTTGTATTGGCGAGTAATGGCGAGTTGTGATGAGTTGCCTCAAAGAGGCACTCGCAGTACTCGCGAATAGCTCTTCTTGTAACTCGGGATAACGCGCGACACCTTGGTATGGCTCGGCGTCACTTTTTACAACATTCCACGGCTCTCCTCGAAGTCGCGAGCACCTTTCCCTGACTCGCTCTCATTTGAGGTGAACTTGCTTACACTCGTAGTATACTCGCATTACTCGTAACAAGCTTGCACTGCACTCTTCATAACTCGTAGCAACTCGCCACCTTCATGTATATGTGAGTGCTATTCGAGTTTCCAAGAGTGGAGTACGAGCACGGTGATCGTGCTGCGAGTTACCTACGATATTAACGCGAGATTAGATCGAGTACGCGGACTTCAGGCGAGTTTCGTATGAGCATGAGCAGAGTGCAGGGCGAACATGACGAGCTTCACGAGCGCACCATGATACGTCAGCTGGCCTACAATTATGCAGAGGATCAAGGGCAGTTATTCCCTTGGCATATCGAGCAAATAATGCTTCTGGCAACCCTCTCCGGGGGGGGGGGCTGGGGAGCAGGGAGTAGGCAGGGGGCACAGTGCCCCCACTTTTTCAAGTACTCGAAATGTGCCCCTTTTTACATACGAAAAGTGGCCCTTTATCTTTGAAAAGTGCCCCTATTAATTGTGGAAGTGCCCCTACCCCTTTTCACCTCTTACAAGTGTCCCGTTTATTTCGATAAGTGCCCCTTTTCCGTCGACAAATGCCCATTTCCTATTTTTATGAGTGCCTTTTTTTTCATCCCTGGTGAGTTTCTCTTTCAGAAGGTGTAAGAAGTGCCTCATTTTCACTTCTGATAATTACTCTTTGTACTTTGACACGAGCTCCTTTTCTTTTCTGATAAGTGTCCCCTTTTCCTCTTATCATTAAACGCGCCCTTAATTTCAAGCGACTAACAGCACCTCCTCCTAAAGTTCACTCGCTCCGCTCGCTCGCGTTTATAGATGATATACTAATGTTACTTATCAAAGGTCTTTTCAGTCTAGCTTCCGTCATAAAAAAAATATGCATATAACCCCATCAGGATAGGGTATTTTGCATTTTATAAGATGTAATTTTTCGCACTGCGACCTCACAAATTTCCCCGCTCCATTCGCTCGGTCGCAAATAATTTTGAGGACCATCACACTCAACTGCATAGTATGATGCCTATATTTTGTACTGTGTACAAAGTGAAACAAATATTGAAATTATCCCTGATAATGTAATCACAATGTAAGGGTATATACCAATGTCTCAAAACATTGTTTATTTTCGCTTTGAGTTTTCAAGCGAGTTCTCGCGAATTTACGCGAGTTCAACCTCGCGCCAGCTCCCCACAACTCGGGGCTCCAACTCGGCCAAGTGGGAGCCCTGCTTTAGATTGGGCCCATGGACCTAACTTACAGGAGCTATATTAATCAGAAAGATCAATGCCTACGTTAGATGGAATCCAAGAGAAGAAGAAAAAGGACTTTCATATATATATGTAGCTTTTACTGTGCGTTCAGGCGATAAAAATGGTGGTGGCGCACTCTTACTTTTAGTATCTGTAACATTGTGCAAATTGTATTGTGAAGTTCGTTGAACACTTTCGTCACTAAAGTGTAATTTAGCAAAATACGTCAACCAACCAATGTTGCATGATTAACCACGCAGAATAATATCGAAGGAAATCCGTTCGCGTGCTTAAAGATATGGACCGGTGGTGGTAAAATTGCGGTTCAAGGGTTTTGGGTGCAAAATATCCATTTAATATTATTTAAATATTGAATGCAGAGGTTTAGATGGCAATACTTCAACCTAAATTCGCAAAAAAACAGAAATATATGCCCAAATGTTCAATGTTGAAGTGCATTCGCGATATTCTATCCAGGCCGGATCAATATGATAATTTACCAAATACAATATTAATAGGCGGTTTCCCGGTAAAATTTGTATTATCACGTATTATTCACATGACTGATAATAAGAGCTTTCATTTAATTTTTTGAGAGGCCGGGGGCGTTTCCAAAACTGCCCGCCCGCCCAATTAAGACATAACAGTCGTCTGGTCTATATAACACCGAGTGAAATAGATATAAATGGGGTAAATCAGTTCAAAGCTGCTTCAATACTGAACATAAAAAGAAAACACTGAACACAGATTCTGAGGGACGTTCATTGCAATTCTAGAATCAAAATTTAAAACAAAAGTCATAAAGAAATATTATTAAACCAATACGTTTTCCGAACCTAAATGCGGTTTATGGGTTCCACTCTAAATCTTCTATTCACTAAGTTTTATTCGAGGAAGGGCTGAGCCGGGGGAGGAGGGGAGGGGGGGGGGGTCACTCCCAACATGACAGGCTACGCATCTACGTCCAGAAAAGCGGGTGTCTTTTTCAGCTACATGTATATGGCGTCGTCGACGTTTTTCTTAAAAGGATTTTTTTAAAGCACTGATCGCACCCCCTCCCCCCCCCCAAAAAAAGGATACCTTTCAGGTTCACATGTTTCGACGTCTTCGGTTAATGTGCGATACAGACGCCATTACGGTCCATGTTCAGAGGTTGATGGACATGGGTGGGTAGCAATTGGTGTATGAGAGTGACCCCCCCCCCCCCCCCCCCCCCGGGATACCGAGATTAGAATATTATTACTTAGTTCTCAAATCTGACTTTTATAACCTACAATTAGAGCAAATTGGCAAATTTAAATTTTGTATAAATGTGTAGTTTAAGTTGAGGGGGTCTACTCCAACATTTTAAGTGGGAAATGAGAAGGAATGGTTTATTGATGACCTCTATGATATCAGAGATCGAAGAGCGCCATCTACAAAACCTTGATCAGCAAACAACAACAGACTTCACTACTTAGGCCTATAGTGTAAGAGTTCAAAAGGAGGTGACGCAAAAGGAAATCATTGTACCATCAACATGTTTTGTAATCCAGTTGTTCCCATAATGTTAATCAAGAGATTTTGTTTACATCATTCAACGACACTTCCAAGGTCCATTTTATAGTGAAAACTAATCGTTCGTTCGTTCGTGTCTCCTTAGATCAAGATTAATGTAATCTTGATCTTCGGAGTAGTTACTACAACCGACCGTAAGACACGTTGCCCCGGGGTGCGAGATAGGACTCTTGTAGCATGCCCCCTTAACTTAAAGCAACTCTTGAATATTTGGGAAAAATCATGAAATCATCCCTTTTAATCATACAGCATATCGGTACTGTTATTGTTCTAAATCCAAATGGCAGTTTTGATTACTAATACTTGAGCTTCCTCTCTATATAACATCTAGTTAACTTTGTTAGAATGTCACATAGCTTTACAAATGCTGACCAGTATGGATGGCTTATGATTATATTGAGCGATGGCATTCAACTCAAGACAGAGTTAATCTACAAATGTATACAGTTTGTAGCACCCATGTTTAGAGAGCACGAAATATAAGCAATATTGATCTTCAGACAATTATTTGCTCATGAACAGGAATGACAGTATAAAGTTAACATGCCAATTTCAGGCTTTTACTGTTTGTGCTAAAATGTTCAAAATTCAATAATTTCATTTTGTGGATTGAAAATTACATAGATAGGGTCATCTGTTTGTATACACACTGTACAAGAAAAAAAAGTTGATAAGTTAGAATATTCCGGGGAAATTGGCGATTCAATTTGGCATACATCATAATCTCTTCAATGTCCTCTTTTTGTCCTTTTTCTTCTTCTCCGCGAGAGCGACCTTTTTATCTCCCGCATGTTTCTTGGCAGCTGGACCGTGCTGTGAGTTACTGCCCGACGTGGAGGGATTCGAATCCTCATTCTCCCGCGATTCTTTGGAGGAACGATGAGGCTGAGCGTGGATCTCGGTCATCATCTTGGCTCGTGAGAAGTATGTGTCGTACTGTTCTAGAAGCAGCTTGCCCGCCTCTTCGTTTAGCGCCGACTCGGGATTGGGGTAGATGAGAAGACATTTGATGGTCAGTAGTAAATGCTTTATACCCATGTCAGCCTTCCAATCTCTTTTGAGTGTGTTGACACAGATCTCTCCATTACTCGCTACGTTAGGATGGAACACCTTTGTGAGGAAGTACCCTTTGGGAGGAGCTTTGGGGAAGTCTTTGCCTAACACCAGCTTGATTCGAAATTGTCCAGCTGCATAGGGTGTTCCAGCTGGTCCTTCTATGACAGCATGGATGTCTGTAATATCTTCCTCACTAGGATGCACCTTGATACCTTCTGGAGGAGAAGACTTCAGCTCTGCAATCTCTTTGGATATTCGACGGATTACATGGGGTGAGAAATTTTCCATATTGGATAAGCTCCCAGAAAGTGACATTTTGAAAATTGGCCTTCAGAATCCGTCAAAAATTGGTTTATTTATCGGGGATATTTAGGATCGTTGCGAGTGCGAAAAACAACAGCAGCTGGGTGAAAACTAATTTGATTAGTATATTCTGTCTTGTTTGTAGATCCTTTCTAGAGGGCAATTCCATTAGTTTAGTGTCATAATCTCAAAGAACGATTTCCATTGCTTGAAACCCACGACCATGACCAGTATATAAACGATGGTCCGCCGCCACCCTTTGGACTTTGGACTTTGATTATTTCACCCTAAAAAGGCCGGGCTATTTGAGGTCTTAGTACGGCGGGGGGGGGGGGGCATTAATTATGCCCCCCCCCCTTAAGATCTCGGCCGCAAAGAGGCCGATCGCCGCGAAAATTTGCACGCATGTCAAGTGAAGTGTATAGAATAATATGATAATTTCAATTTTTTGAAAAATTCACTCATTTGCATATTTATGGTAAATTAAATTTATGCAAATAAAGTCATAAAAATCACATTTTTACCCATACATAATATATTATTCATATTTAAGCATTCTTTTTCACTACATATATTCATTAGACCATTCTGAATAATAATACGACAAAAAATTTGGAAGAGCCAACTTATTCCTTATGTTATCCCTTGTTTTGATAATTTCTTATGTATTTAATTCACTGTTTTTTTAACTTATGTATTTCATTGTTTTTGTTGTTCTATTTCATTTCTTACTACAATTGACTCCCTAAACAACCACCTAAACTTGAAACAAGACCCAATAACCCATGTTTGATCTGTTTTGAGGAAAAATGACTTTTCCATATGTTTTGTACACAAATCTAAATCAATCTCATCCCTTCTAGTCTACGCCGAAGGCAAAATGATTATGAAGGAAAAACTGTGCGCCATCTACACGTTCGTAATGGCGTTATCACAGTTTTTCCTTCATAATCATTTTGCCTTCGGCGTAGACTAGAAGGGATGAGATTGATTTAGATGACTCCGGCAGCGAGAGTTTAACACGGCTTGCAAGATTTTCAACATGGATGTCGATTTTGACCCATAATTTCCTTAAAAGGGACCATTAAACGGATTATTTCAGTCAAGTGGAACTGATTATTATAGCCTAGGCCTAATTTACAATATAACATGCACGAGGTAAAATGACATTTTGGGGGATTTTGGGGGCAAAACGCTACGACAGTTAACGTCCCTCGAATAGGACGTTAAATGGAGGCCCCGTGTACAGGAGAGACCACCCTTGCACGTTAAGAACCCATTGCACTTTTCGTATAAGAGTAGGGGGAAACCTCGGTGTAATGGTCCACCTGCACACCCCAATCAGGCCGAGTATACGGCATCTGCAAGAATCTTCAGTATTGTAACAAATCAGGGTTTTAGTATTGGACGAAGGTTAAGCATTTTCTGTTGTACGCACATGCGCTATAGCAATATGGCGCATTGTTGATTTAGCAATTACCAAACTGAAGGAAAATGAGCATAAATTACATATAACAAACATGTTGGTGCAATTATCATGTTTCTTTTGGGATATTATTTGTGTAGTAGTTATCTAATCAGGAATAAGGGTTACACTGAAGATTATATGTGAAGATTTAATGGGATTAGCAGAAATGTTGGGTTGAAGTGTTGTTTTACTAACGAGGACATAATTGTTCTTTTATACGGTTATGTATTGGGAAATTGTTAGCTTGGCCAGGAGTGTGTAACTTGGACTTTCCACTGCACTGTATCCGATACAGGCCAGCCTCACCGAGGCTGGCCTGATAGTTGGCCTGATAGTTGGCCTGGCCCTATAATACCTATACTACCTTTAATTGAGTCTTACATCTAGTCTACACTTGTACTTGTGCTGAGTTAACCCTGAATGTTGACTGGATCGCATTAAAGAATATCAACATACAACTCATGATTGGTTTTGATTTCTTGAGCAGTGAAACCGTAGTTAGACGAATGGATGAGAAGAAGTGACAGGTATTGACGAAGCATGATTGACTGCTCGAGGGATGTTCAATTGATTGATGATGTGCTCAAGGCGTTTTTAGGTGACCGATTGCAGTCGATGGACGAATGATTGTTGAGAGACGTGTGAGCAGTAAATAACTCCAGCCATTAAGCTACGGCATATATTTTGTCCAAACGGACAGAGGGCGCCTGGCCAGACACGGGCATCCTGACAAATACTCTGTGTCAAGCCAAGGGGGCGAACCGAGTCCGTCACAGTATTGAAGGAGGCAGATTATCTTGAAAAAGAAGAAGGGGACCTGAAATGGCCGTGGCGTTATCAAGGGAATGTGTATATACGGTTTCCGTCTCTAAAGAGAGAGCCGGCCGACCCTACCCCAATAAGAGGCTAACGAACGAAAGAGACGGAAAATTCGGTCTACCTCAAACCAAGGAGGTAATACATAGGGGTCTATGTGTTGATTCAAAAGCCCTTGTGTCACAAACCCGTGCGCGCGCGCGTCCGTACATGTATGTAGGACCAAAGACGTTTAAATATAATTACTAGACGGAAAGCAGCACTCGCGGAAACCATGCAGACGAATGTGATTAGGCTCCGCCTCTTTTGGATCATTTGAAGACAAAATAAGCACCCGAGGCGGCTTTTTGATTGGATAAGAGCCTCATGAATATGTATTTTATCGATAGTATCGTTTAAGAAACCGGATAATATATTTGACCTCATGCGTCACTTTAATTATGCAGATTTATGCACGACGCTACTACACTCGCACAAACTGAGAAGATTTAGTTCATTGAGAATGGGTGAGTAATTGATTGAAATATGAGTAGTTTAAGTGAATTTAGTCATCAATTTTGAAAAAGCTACAATATTCTTCGTGATCTACGGTAATTTAGTTTCATTTTGAGACAGTTCTCACAGATTGTTTGGGAAAACACTAGGAAAATATTGCTCTTGAAATTGCACTTTGATTTTTATCGTCATGAAGTAGTTTGACTGCGGTTTGCCGTCATTTCACCCTAGTACTCCAGTTAGGGACCCGGGGTTTCGGCAGGCCCACTGCGGGAATTTCGGTGCTCATTTGCATCAAGATCAAACTTTCAAATCAAGTTTTATTTCAGATTTGATCGTCATCATGAATCTAATTCACCAATCATCGATTGAGTTTAAATCTAGATTTAACGTTACACCTTAAAATAATCTATGAAGCATGATTTTTTGATAATCCAAGTGGATTAATTCTTGTTAAAATCTTTAGTAGATGTGGACCCTGATTGCTTTACTTATCATCAGTGCCATCCGTTCGCTCATAGTAGTTGCACCATCGGTACGCGGTGTGTGTCAACTTTATTTAGGGTCTAGGCCTATATTAAGGCCTAGACTCTAGACTCTAGACCAAAATTATCTGTGACCATTGATAATCAAACAACTCCAAATCCTATTTCATTTAGATGTAAACCTGGAACTTATTAATAAAAATATTTTTTTTTAAAGAACAACACTAAAGTTAGGTCTAGATAGACTAGAATCTAGTCTAGTCTAGGATTTGTTTATTTAATAGTGGGTCCAGTGTGCTTGTCAAGTTGTCATTAGTTAGACTGAGAGGTCTGTAATAACTAATATAGATCTAGATCTATAGACTAGAGTCGAGACGAATCTAGACCCCTATTAATTTTTAGAGATTTTTTTTCTTCTCCAAATTGTGCAGTTCATGTTGATAAATCTTTCTTTTAAAATAAAAAATAAAAAATTGTGTGTAAGAGAAGAACCCTAGTCCACAATTATGTTTACTTATGTAGTCCACCTTTTCTTCTTGTTTTAATAAACCAATTCTACTGAAACTACTTTATATTCATAGGCCATATATAGGCCTAGGCCTAAAGCACTTTTTGAGACACAAGTTAAATCTTCCATTTAGTTTTACTTTGTACTGTGGTCCATTAAATAGGAATGTTGATTTCCACACCATATTAACATTAAGGCCAACCATGACATCAAAAATAGCTGTAGTTAAGGAGAAAGGGACGCCTTGATTTTCATACTGATTTGTTTTTCTTCTTGTTCCAACAGATTGAAACTGAAGAAGAGCTGGAAGGAGTTAGCTGATGAGTAGACATTACAACATTTTTTATAGTTGCAAGATGACGCAGAAAGTCCCATCCAGGTAAAAAAAAATCAGGATATTTAGCACACAAACATAAAACGACCACCTAGTAATTCACTAAACAGGAAATGTAACTAAGTTTATGTTGCAAGCGTATACAGGGGCAGGGGTGGGTCCAGGAATTTCTTGCCGGGAAGGGGGGGGGGGGGCACACGGTGGGAAAGAGAACATATATATATATATATATATATTTTTAAGTCCCCCCCAAAAAACGACTCAGCCAGCCGCTGGGGGGGGGGGGGGGGGGGGGGGGGGGGAGTAAGAGGCACTTTTTTTTTTTGGTTACAAAATTTTTTAATTTGACATTTTGCTTCGTTGGGGGAGGGGGGGGGGGTAAGGTCACCTTTTCAGGTAACCATTGGCATATTTTTTTTTTTTTTTCTTTTTTAATAATTTTTTTGTTTTGTTCGGGGGGGGGGGGGTGGGGGTACGCCCTGTTTTTCAGTACATTTGGGCGAATTTAGGGCTGATTTTAACATGTTTTGGGGGTCGGAGGGGGGGGGGGGTGCCCAAAAAACATGTTAAAATCCCTCCGACCCCAAAAAACATGTTAAAATCAGCCCTAAATTCGCCCAAAATGCACGTGCCCCTGTGCCCCCCCCCCTGGATCCGCCACTGAGGGGAGGGGTTTTTTTTATTCAGTTCTGCACTTAGCACACAAATATTGATGTCTTTCCTTTCTTTGTTTACAAAGAAATTTGTCCTTATTTTACAGGAGGTCCTGTGTGTAGAAGAACCATATCTAATGCACATTCAAAGCACTACATGATCATACATGTAGGGTATACACAGGACCCCTCATTACTTTTTTGCAAGTGCTTTCACTTCTTGAGCAATGAAGATGAAGAAGAACACAAATAAGATCAATGAAAGTCTGTTTATAGGATGTATTATGGTTGATATGTAGCCATTAATATCAATTTGTAATTGAAGTACCTACATTGTTTTCTCTCATGTAGGATGATGCTTCGCTACAGTGGATGATGAAGCCATGTTGGTTTCAAACTCAGGAGGAACAAAGAACAGATATTGACGGGATCATATCTAGAGATGCAGCCTACTACACTTCATACGAGCAAGTGTGCTATATGTAGGTACCCCCAATAAACTATTGTGGAACACATATCGTGCAGAAAGTTATAGATCTGACAAAGATATTTTTCATTGTCCGTTGACTTGTAAAAGAATACTTGACTGAATATCACAATTGTGATTTAGATTAAAAATAATGTCAATATAGATGAAATATAAGTCTACATTACTTATGTTTCGTAGCATTATTTCCAGCACATTCTCTGGTCCAACTTGTTTGGTAATTTATGTCCCATACTTAACCGAGTATTATTCAATTATGAGCATGAGTTTACAGTACAAGTACATTGTACATGTATTACTTATTTCATACCTTGCCTGATCCAAGCTCCAGCAGGCCTTTGTCTTAATGGGATCATCTTAAATAATCTAAGATGTGGTCAGTATCTATAGTCTTGTAGGAAATATAGTTTAGGTTTGCCCACTAGAACCCAAGTAGTTTTGGTCCTTCCTCATTTTGTCAGAGCAGGTATCAGGGTGGATGTTATAGTTATTGTTGATTTTCTTATAACACTGTATCCTATTTCATTTTTCTATTCAACAGACTTGGGTTATCATTACAGCCCTTTCTTCTGAAAACTAGGCTACAACTTTATTGATGGATGCAGAAAACATCTACATGGACTACGTCTTAAAGATGCCACCCTCATATAATGAAGGGACAGTAGAGATGGGTTTAAACTTGAATATTTACATACTATTTATTTATTATTTTGTATTATTTGTTTGTAGAATACCACGTTTAAAAAAGCTAATGAATTTATCATCTTGTCAACTTTTAAATAATTAAAGATAACTAATCATCAAGGAATAACATTAACATTTTAACAATGTCAACTACCATTTTATAGCCAAATGACCTTAGGGCTGGGCAGAAAAAATTTCCTTGAAATTTAGTGATAAAGATCTATCAGTCTATATCAA